ACTGGCCGCTGTGATACAATTGTATAATAATAATAATAATAATATATTATACATTACATTATAGGAAACAATATTATCAAGCACAGTGGTTAGAATGTAGTATTGCAGGCTAATTTTGCTGACTGGCAGCAGTTCAATTCTCACCTGCTCAAGGTTGACTCAACCTTCCATCCTTCCAAGATCAGTAAAAATGAGGATCCATATTGTTGGGGACAATATGCTGACTCTGTAAACTTCTTAGAGAGGGTTATAAAGCACTATGAAGTGGTATATAAGTCTAGATACTATTGCTATCTATAATTTTTATGCACATTTCCTAGTTATATACTAAAAATAATGCTTATGTATTGTAGGATAAAAGACTGTTGCATACTCCCCTCCATTCTCTGTCACCAATAGAGAGGGAAACATGTGCATTTCGACGAAAGATGCTGGAGTTTCTCAGTGACCGGGTTCGTGAGACTGTTATTGAAAAAGAAAAACAGTGGGATGAAGAAGAACTTAGGAAAATCAAAATTGGTGAGTCCAAGTTAGATTTTAAAATAAAAAAAAAATATATAAAGCAATTCTAGACTTGGATTAGACTACTTAGGGCAGAGGTGTTTTCTTGCAGCTGGAGATTGTTTAAGAATATGAACCTAAAAAGTTTAAATTAGGATTCATTGTCAACTTTCCTTCTATCATCTGGGGAATGTGATAATATGATATCATCTTGTTATTTTTTTGTATTGACAAGATATACTATGCTGAGACAAAAAGGAAGCTAAAGATGTTGATACTTATATGCAATCCTTTAATTTCATGCTCAGAAATTGAAATTTGTTTGGCTTCTATTTTTTTATTAAAAAATGGACTAATACTGCTAACAATTCTGAAAAAATAAGATTGATTCTGGCATTTAAAAAAGCAACAACAGCTCTCACGAAATCAGTTTTAATAATAAGTGGTCAGAAATGCCAAATTCAGCATGAACATCTGGTTGACTGTGCAACCAATTATAATGGGGCAAAAATAGTGAAAACTGAACAGACTAAGATACTCTATAGAAATAACATCAAGAGACTGGATGAAGATGATCACTACAAACACCTGAGCATCCTTTAAGTTGACAACATCATGCACACTATAATCAAAAAGGAGGTTAGAAATGAATACAATATGAGAGTAATGAAGAGCTTAAAGTCCAAATTCAGCTGAAGAAATATCAAGACAACTAACCTGGGTAATTCCAGTCATTAGATGTACAGCTAGAGCAGTAGACTGGAGTCTACTAAAAGCCCTGAATAGAAAGCCCTGAATAGAATGACCAAAATAATAATAATAATAATAATGGCAATGAATTATGCCCTCCATACACACATCAATTTTGATAGATTGTACTTATCAAGGAAAATAGGTGAATAATGTTGCAAGCACACCAGACAGTTGAAGAAGAAAAAAGGGCATTGGAAGAATATCTGAAGGACAGTGAAGATGATATATTAAAGCTAGCATACTCAGTAATGCAGGCTTACTGAGTTGTGAAGAGACCAAACTGGCTTTCAAGAAAGACCCAATGAAGAGTAGGAAAGAGATATGGCAAGGCAAAATTTTATATGGCCAGTACACTTCAAAAAAGCAGGAAAAATAAATAACGAGACCCGGCAATGTCTAAGAGCAGGAAAATTGAAGAAAGAAACAAAGGGGCTAATACTGGCTACAGAAGACCAACCTTAAGAACAAATGCAAAGGCAGAATCGGAGAAGACAGCAACAGACAGCAAAAGCCACTTCTGCCAAGAAGCTAAAGAAACATTGGACCCTTAATTAGCTGTTGCAAAAAGATTGCACAGACTGACTATAAAAAATGACAAAGTAGCAACAACAGTGTGTTGGCATATTTGCAAGAAATACAATTTGTCTTCAAGGAAGAACTGGTGGGACCATAAAATAGTGAAAGTAATAGAAAATGTAACAGAAGTAACATATTCTGGGAATTTAGCACTCAAATGGACAAGCTCCTGCCATATAACACCCCAGACTTAACAATTGTTGATAAGGACAAAAAAGTCTGGATAGTGGATGTGGCAGAAGAGAAGAGAAAGAAGTGGAGAAGATCACAAATGCAATGACATGCAAATAGAAATAGAATGACTGTGGCAAAAGAAAGCAAAGATAGTACCATTAGTTATAGGTGCCTTGGGTGCAACCTCAAAACTTCTGGAGCATCACTTTGAGCACCATCAGCATTGACAAAATCACCACCAGTCAATTGCAAAAGGAATTAGTTGGAACAACTTACATACTGCAATGATACGTTTAACACCAGCAAATAATAACATCTACCTAACCCAAGCCTTGGGAACGATTTGAAAGGTGGATAAAAATGGCAAATACAAACATCTGGCTGACTATGCAATGAACCATAATATCTTTATCACCATCAAACAAGAACATCTGCCTATACTAGATCTTTGGAAAGGATAGGTAGATAAAAATGCCAAATCCAATCTAAACATGTGATTATATGACAAACCAATAATAATAATATTTGCATTTCAGCTGCTGGAGGAATAAGAAAGAAATCTATAAATCCCCTTTTAGGACCATTACCAGAAACAGATGCATCAAAGTAAGTCCTATGAATCAAAATTTAATTTGCTTGTTGTACTGATAGATGATTGTGATAGTTGGTTTTAGTATTGTTGTCATCACTAATGGAACCAGACATATTGATTGTGTGTGTGTGTGTGTGTGTGTATGTATGTGTGTGTATATATATATATATGGAAGTGTGACCTTCCTCCCATATTTGGGCATACCAGGGGTT